CTTCTCCAATCCTTACCTGTGCACACTGGCACTTATTTCTTCAGAGGCAGACCTCATCTGACTGATTCAATCTTTCGAAGAAGTGTCAACCCCGCTTTCCATGCAGATATTTCTGATAACCGTCCCTAACATCAGTGTCTCATTTGGTTCTTGAGAGTTTTTCGTCGTCGTTGACGTAGCCGCCGCCAAAAGATCATTTCACTGGACCGGTTCCGACCACGTGACTTCAAACATCTGTACAGTCTTAAGCGATTTTCTTGGTCAGACCATATACACAACACAATTGGTCACTGTAATCTTAATGGTTGTGATTATTTTGAGGTGATAACTGTATATATTGTACCAGCTGAAATTCCAGTGAGTGTGATAAGCCGTCATAGACACATCAAAGTTGAATTTTTTTTCTTTTCTGATCACATTATCTGTAAAAAATTATTCTTCGCCAACGTATGGAACTTCGAAATCTCCTCCTTTTTTATTAACCGAAGCTTCCATTCACTGATCCCTGATTTCAAGCTGTCTCATGCTTTGTGGAAACATCGGAAACGCCTCAACCTTGGGGAACTATTGCCATGCGCAATTCTAAGAGAAACCGGAGATTGGGACGTATTAACCATAGCACAGTCATCTTACCAACTAGTTGTAAGTTCACCCATGATATCATCACACCAGCGCGGAAACACCCATAATCGACCTAAGGTCTGCACTTTGACCGAGAAAACTACCTGTATATCCAGATTACCTTCGAAGTAAACGTAATGTGGAGAACTACTGAGTGGTAGGGATACTGAGGGAAAACAGTATCGTATATCATTTTTCATGATGTGACTGATGTGCATAGTTTTTGCATAAGGCTATTTTAATGTTGGGTCTTTAAATCACCGATTGAAATAAAGTTTCTTTTTTCGAACATTGGAAAAGTTATTATGATCAATGTGTGGTAGGTCGATGTTTTTCTGAGTTCCAGTGCAAGTTTAATTTAGGCGATGTCAAATGTTGTGACGTCAGTGTGACATATGCCATTTTATGTCACATGGCGCTTACCGTAGCAATCAGTGTTTTCATTTATCTCCTTTCTAATAATAACGGCTCAGGATTTTTTTAAGAAATGATGGCTAGTGCCAATTCATGTTGAAATATATGGCCTTGTTACACAAATGTGTTTAACTATCATTGGAGCCCACAATAAAGAACCTTTTCTATTGGCTTCCTTGTCCAATTATCGTTATTTGGGAAACGCAGAATTCACAAAACTGGTATTTGTTAGCACTTCAGACGTGGCTTCTTTCGCATTTCAAGGCTTATGCTGGTTTTTTACCGTTGGTTATCATCAATTACCCAATCTCTGATTTTTCACGGGAAATTACTGCATTGAGTTCCTTCACCGTACACTGAATTGTGGGCCCTGCAAGGCGGAATCCTTCTCCGCTAAAATTCTTGCATGTGATCTTAGATCTTCTTATAGTTTTGGCAACGAACTTCTATACTCCATAGGAATTTTCTCCATGTGTATAGGAGAGGAAGTTCCTTGGATCCTTGAGTTTCTTGAGTTCCTTGCGTCGCAGATGCCCTCTCTAAGTGAAAGGAATCTGCATTCTACAATCAATTCAGCTGTAGATCGGTCTAAAATGAGCTCAAGCCGTATCAGATTCTGTACATAGAGTCTAGAATGTGCATCTGAGAACTGGCGAACATCATATAGTTATAGAACTTCGGTTGATATCCGATATTAATTCTTTATTATTTTTTTTCGTAATTTTTCCTCTCAGGAATAGAATAACCTTTCCACGACCAATCTGACTTGAACAGCCCTTCATACGGTCTCACCTTCATCAGTCCTCAATTCCGTATCACCCAACTTTGGATATAGCACCGGGTCAGAAATTCCTGCATTCTATACAAAAGAAAGGATCTTTGCTTCAAAATTTCTAGTGTTTAGAGCTTGGATTTTTATATAGTGATGCTCACAAAGCTGTTCATGTAAAGAGTAGAGGTTTCTAGTGTTCCTTCTGCTTCAAGTGTGAGCACCGTTTGATTCCCGTTCAGAACGCGTGTTCGATCTGTACGATGGATTTACGGAATCAGCAGATGTACACGTCAGAATGTCTATCTCTTCGAATGAATTAAGGCTGTGCAAACAAATACAGTGAACCTTTCCCATTGAAAAATGTGGCCACTCAAATGCATAAGCTAGATATTGAGCATATGTGCTTCAAGAAACCGTAGAGAACCATAGCAGAAAACAGGAAATCCTTCTTCAATCTTTCCTTGAGGGCTGCAGTGACCTGTGATCAGTCTCACCTAACAGGATGACAAGGGAATCGCGTGAGATTCTAATGTCATCATGCATGATGCAATCTTACGTTACAAGAAGATTATCTCCCGCCCATGATCGAGAGACATTTTGTGCTGTTGCTTCGCGTCTAGAACGTTGTTCCGTACCTTTCTCAGCAATGGGATCGTACTACCTCAAAACGACCCTCATAAACGTTAAATTTAGCCCTTCCATCACTCATTTTCAACTGCTTCCACGTTGATCTTCTTGAAATCTGTGCATGTCCCACAGTGCCTTATACTGCTATACAGGATAGGACTGTATTGGCTAAGGTTTCAAACAAGTTACTGTCGTTGAAGAACTGGAATCTGTATGAATGTTCTGATCAGTGGCTTACCCGATTAAACGCCTAAACGCTCTAGAAGCTGTAACCACTCTGAAACGCTCGAACACAAGTTGGTCCCAACCATCTTACCAACCTTCTGCGGTTCCACCACTGGTCCTTCACTGTTCAGTACCCGAATGGAAAATGAACGCTGGTGCAGCTTAAGAAGATACATTACTTGGATGGGATCAGTTGCGTTCGAGCTTATTCAAGTTGTTGTAACTGACCTATTTGCTTATGGGCTTTATCTGGTGAATCACAGTTCAGAAGGGTCGAATTACTTGCAGGTTGTCAAACGAGGCAGTTCTATCATAACAAACCTGTTCGGTAGAAGAGAGTAGAGTCCATCTTTCAAATTCCCACGTGACTTTTGTTTCATAGTTGTCCTGTAGACTTTCATCTCTTATTTTCCCACGTGTTATCTGTTGTACAGTTGTACGTGCGTAGGCATAGTTTCTCTCTTAAGTTTCCTTATCATCGGACACCTGACCTGCACATGTTGCTGAAAGCTTTTGCTTATCTGGAATTTCTGGCTTTCCTCACCCTTAGACCTTCCGGG